AGAGATATCCCTCCGCAGAGCTGGGTCTGGCCGCGGGCGGGGAAGCAGGAAGTAAGGTGTCCAGCGCCCGGGCCGGTGGGTCCTCCCCGGCGGCCCCCGCCCGCGCCCCTTGTCCCCCGAGGCGCCGCGCTCCTGAGGGCGCCGGCCGGGGCCGCCAAGCGCATTGTTTGCAGCCTTCCCCGAGATGGGTTGCGGACCTTATTTGTGTGCTCTGCATGTGCGTGAGGTTGCACCTTTTGTAGGCTGGCGAGACTCTGGACGAGGATGGTGAGGGTGGTGCGAACGGAGTTGCGGCCCGGAGCGGGACCTGTCAGCCCCGGGGTGTGGCAGACTCTCCGGCGTGGCCAGAAAATCGAGGCCCGGGAGAAGGCGGCGTGGCCGGGAAGCTGCCGCTTAGACCCGGACCAGTGCAGGATAGCTTCCTGCGTAGCCGTCCCGGTTATTGTAATGCGCTTTGCAAGCGAACGTTTGGAGTTTGAGTTTCTTATTCATTTTTTTTTTTAAGGGTTGCAAAGAAGCCAAGGTCTAGGTGGGCTGCAAGAAGACGTTCTGAGAATACTGGCCTATCACTCCCCCAACTGCACCCCGGCCTTGGTGGGGCTGAGAGAGGTTGGGGTTACAGGGAAGGAGCTGGAGGTTTGCGAAGCGCGCGGCTCCATCCCTCCGCCCCGATGGGGGCGGGGAGGGGGTGCTGCAGACGGCTCTGGAAATGCAGCTCTCTGGGGAGGGGTCTCCATCTCCGCGGCGCAGCAGGCCGGGGAGGGAGGTTGCCTAGGAGAGGGGCCGGGGCCGGGCGGCTAAGGGGAGGGGAGGGGGCGCGGGGGCCGCCGCGGCTCGTACTCGCCCCTCCTTGCGCGCCATGACTGGAACGTGGTGCCGGGGAGGAGGGACGGCCGCCTGGGGCCGCCCGGGGCTGCTCAGCATTGGTGCGGAAACCCGAGCCGGGAGTCGCTCCTCGCGCTGTCTCCTCCTCCTCCTCTGCGGGGGAAACCGCTGCACCCAAACCGAGAGCAGCTGCGAGCAGGGGGCAGGGCGCTGGCTGAAAGGCGAGCCAAGGGTTCAAACCTCGGTGGCGCCTGCCTGGGGGCGCGAGCTGGACAGCCCTCAGGTCCCGCGAAGGCGCGCCAGTCTGTGATCCAACCCCGGACCCTAGCATTTCCAGGCTTTTTTCCTGGACCGAGGGAACCTGAACCAAAGATGGTTCGGCTAAACAGACTGTCTCGAGCTGGGTTCAAGGCATCTTTCTCAAGGAGGGCCCACATGACAGCGAGTAATTATTTTTGCTCAAGGGAAAGTTAAAGCATGCTTTTTTCAGTGTGGGGAAATCGTTGCTCCCTTTCCTAAATTGTGCAGGATAAATAAGGTGCTCGAGCTACCCAGACATTGGCCACTGGCTCTCACCCCACCCCCACCCGGCCTCTGGGTGTGGACAGAGAGAGAGAAGGCTATATGGGAGCTTAAAGCATGAGGTCATGGGCGGAGGAGGCCGCTGCCAAAAGCAGTGAAGGTTTTCGTGCATTCTGGGGGTAACGGTTCTGCATCTTCAGCTGTGGTAAGTTCTCCTGCATAACCTTACCAATTCTGGGACAACCGGACCAGACAGCGCCCGCAAAAACCAGGGAGCTCTGGACTATTCTGCACTAGCGCTGGCCAAAGCCCAGCTCTTTATGGGGCCCTTCCATAGAAGCACAGAAAGCCGAAGTACTGCGTGCAGTACCTTGGGTACAGAGAAAGACCCAGATGCTGGGTCCCAGTGCCTCTCCACCACCCCCACCCTCGCAGCGCGCGCGCGCGCGCGCGCGGACACACACACACACACACACACACTCCTCAGTCCCCGCACTGCTTTCTATGGTACCCTTCTGCCCCCCTCCGACCCGTTCTTCCCAAGCGGCTAGAAGAGTCTTTCTAAAACCCCTGACTACACGCCTGCAAACCCCTCCCATTCAGCTCTTAGAATAAAGCCCTGCTCTGGAGCTCCTGCGCGATTTCGCCTCCAAAGACCTTTCCACTCTCGCTGCTCCTCCTATACTGTAAGCCTAATGGTGCTTCTTTGTTCTTTGACGGCTGCCCGGAGAGGGGGGGCAGGGGGGTGGAAGTGGGGGGTAACCCTTCCCTTTCCACCTCTTCTTACTAACTCCTGCTGCTCCTGGAAGACTCCACTCCGCTGTCTCTTTCCCCCGCGCCCCCCAGAAACCTTCCTGAGGATACAGTTTCATCCCAAACTCCCACCCTAGACCTCCTGGCAGCCAGACTGGCTGGAGCTGGACCCTGTAACCTCCTTTTCCTAATTAAGGAGTAATAGCTCTGCGACAAGTCACCCATGCCTGGGGCGTTGATCACCTAGAGAGTTGGCTGGGACAGATCCGCCAAACCCCCTGTTTGGAGAGCTCAGAAATACTAGCAATGTCCAGAAACCTCCATCCCAAGTATACACCCACTCTTAAAGCAAGAAGAGGTCTTTTCATCTAAAAGTCCTCCTTTGGGGCAGATAAGGAACCTGAGGTTAAGCGGAAGTAAATTGTCCAGGATCAAAGCGGAAAGTCACACCTTCATTTTTTCTGTCCCTAACCCTTGAATCTGCAGAGAAGATTTGAGACTTGGGACCAGGCTACACAGCCAAGGATAAGACTTGGCTTGAAAGAAGCCAAGGCCCTGGTTCTAGGAACCCCGACCTGTTTGGCTCACTGCCAACAGTATCCCCTAAAGGTTGACTGTGCGGTGACTCTGGTCTTGGGCAAGTTACTTAACACACTTGGTTCAGTGCCCTAAAATGGGAGTCAGGGTACCTACAGTGTAATGTTATGAAGTTTAAATGAGTTTGTTTATGTTAAAACCCTAAAACAGTGTCTAGGCAGGTTCCTGATGATTTGTAAATGGGATTATGTGCCCCATTTGCTCAGGACCCCAGAAAATCCGATCCCCAGAATGTTAATTGATGTAAGTATCAAAAAGATCTAAGACCTAAAAGACTGGGAAAGCACCCATAAATGCATGGAAAATACATACAAAGACCTTATTTCACCAGTAGGGTCAACCTCAACAATGTGTACTGTTTGAGACACTAAATCTATGAGCCCTAGTTCTGGACTTTCAAATGAGGGTCAGAAGGATGATAGCTGAAATTAAAATGTTACCTTTGCTCCTTGAAATTAGGGTCATGCTAACATCATCCCAGTCCTGGTACAAAACCAGAGTTTGCTGACCCAAACTCTCCGAGGGCAGCAAAAAAAGTATAAGGAGCTTTTTACTTTCATTACATCCTAGTCTTCCTATTCTCAGCATTTACCTTCTGGATAAAACAGGTTTTTTTTTT